AAGCAAAAAATAGTAAAAAACTAAGAAAAAGTAGTGAACAACAGTTAAATAAGATAAAGGCAAACAAAGAAATTTTATTAGAACAAGAATATGAATATTTAAACTATGATATTATAAAAAAACAGACAGCTAAACTCAAATCAAATATGAAAAAAAAGAAAATAATATTAAAGAAAAAGTATTCAAGTTAAGAATATAATAAATGATATAGAGTTGAATGAAAAGTCTAATATAAGTAAAGAAGAGATAGATAAGAAGATAAAGAAATAAGTAAAAGTAGAGAACAAATAAAAAAAAAACAAAATATATAGAAGAACTATTAACAAAATATAGAGACATAAATGAAGTAGATAACATTTATACAATATAAGACATTTTAACAAAAATTTGACTAACATATATAAGAAAATGTCTTTAATTTTATGATAGAATTAGGTTTATGTATTAAAAAAACTGTAGTAACAATAAACCTGCAACATTTTCAGTTAAATTTAAAAATGAAAAAAGAAAGATAATACTTGATTAATGTATTTTAAAGAAACAAAACTTGCAGAGTAATTTTAGATACTTTTACAAGGGAAATATTAGAAAAAAATGTCTTATATAAAGCAATAGTTAAAAATATTCTAATAACAGCAATAGAAGTATTATTGCTAAGACATCTTAAAGCAATAAAAGCAAAAGCAGTCTATATATAAATTAACAGAAATAAGAACCAGCAAGAACAACATCAGTATATTTTAAAAGAAGAGCTTAAGATGGCTACAAAAAAAGAAGCATATTACTATAATATAAGATTAAAATAAAGCATTACAAGGTCTTTCAAGAGTAATAAAATAAGAAGAAGAAAAAAAAGAGAAGTAAAAGAATACCAAGTAAACAAAAATACACAATATAAAAACTTGTAAAAGCCAAAAAAGAAGTTAAAAAAAGGTAAACTAACAAAAAAAATTAGCAAAAAGAAGACAAAATAGATAAAAAAAATATAAAAATAATATTTAGTTAGAAGCAATTATAATTAAAAAGCTACAAAGCAATTTGCAAGATATCTTTAATAGAATTTTAAAGAAATTAGATAAAATAGATAAAAGACAATTAGAAAGTACACTTCTAAATCATTTTTGAAAATTGTTATAAGTATTTTTCAAGAAAAAACAATTATTTTGTTAAATATAGAAATAGAAAGTAGTAATAATAAGTTAGATTAAAATAGAAACAAATATGACAAAAGTGGTAATAATATAACAAGTATTAAAATAGCATATTATAATATAAATAAGATAAAAAACAATAAAATCAAACTTAAAACAATAGTCAAGTAGTCAAAAGAAAAAAAATTAAAGTTTTAGGATTAGTAAAAATAAACAGTAATAGTAAAGATTTAAAGTTTAATTTAAAAAATGAACATTTTAAAAGGTTATAAAAAAGAAAAAAATCTGATATTAGGCAATTAGTAAGCCAAGAATAGAAGAAGTTTGTAGATTTGAGAAGTACTTAGTTAAGGCAAAGTTCTATTTTAGTCAGGTAAAAATCATGATAATAATAGTATATATTCCTTTAAATGATAAGAAAATAATTAAGAAACTATAGCAAGTAATAGTAAAGATATATATGAAAAGAGCATATAACTTTTAGTTTATAGTTATAAGTAATTTTAATCATATAGTTAGTAGTAAATTAGACAAAATAAATAGTAGTAGTAGCAGTAATTTCAAAGCTTTTTTATTACATAAGTAGTTGATAAATCAGAGGTTTGGTGATATATATAAAGTGTAAACCTAGAGCTAAGAGATTATACATAGTCAGGACAAGATGTACAAACAAGAATAGACCAAATATAGATCTTAGAAGATCTGCAATTAGTGATAAAACAAGCAGAAATTATTGATGCAGAATTTATAACAGCTAGTAATTATAACATTATTTGTGCATTGGTATCATTCAAGCATTTAGTTAAGATATAGAATATAGCAAAAATAAAAAGAAGAGGTATAACAAGAACAATTTATTTATATAACAAGACAACAAAAAAAAATTGAGAAAATTATTAGACAGACCTCGAAAATTATTTGTTGAAGAATAAGAAATTCAAAGTATTTAAAGAAATAGAATATAGTATTAATATAAATAAAGCTTGAAATATAATATTCAATACAATAAAAGATGCAGTCAACAGAAATATATCTAAAAAAAAATAATACAAGAGAAGAACAATATTAAAAGAAGAGAAAAATATCAATACTGTATAGAGGTATTGTAGTATTTAGTAAACTGATACAAAAAGTAAAAAAAGTTAATAAGAGAAGAGAAATATGAATTTAACTTAGAAGAGTTAAACTTAGAAATAGAAAAGATAAATATAAAGTATAGTCTAAAAATAAGTTATATAGAAGGTAGTAATATGGCAGATTCTGCAATATAGAGTTAGTAAAAAAACAGTGACAAGCACTAAAGATAATTGAAAAGATTAAAAAAGATAAGTATACAAGAGCTGAAATCAATACTATAATAAATAGAAAATATAAGAAAATTAATAAAGAACTAAGAAAAATGCTTACTAGTATTCTAGACAAACTGTATAACAAAATTAAAATTGACAATATATTAAAACATAAAGAAGACAAATGCGTTTTATATAATAAACTAAATGCAGTATTAAAGTAAACAAAAGAACATTTTAGTCTGCAGTTTAAACAGAGAAATGTAGTAGATAATAAAAGAGTAATAGAAGAATTTTACAAACTACTTATAGAAGTTAAAAAAGAGTAGTACAAAGATTTAAAAACAGAAATAATGATTAATAAATGACTAAAGGTAATAAAAGAGACAAAAAATAAAACTGTTTCTAAACTTTCTAATATTGATTATAGGTTAATCAAAAGTGCAAATAGAAAGACATAAGAAATTTTTAGAAAATTTGCAGATATGTGTTTAAAGCTTGAAAAAATATCATATAAGTAGAAACTAGTACAAATATATCTAATTCTAAAGGTAAAGACTGGGGTTATAATCTTTGTAACATTAGACCAATTGCATTGCTAAAGATATTTAAAAAGTGTTTAACTAAGGTAGTAGTAAAAAGAATATTTAAAATAATAGCAGAAAAAAAAAATACTCAAAGCTCCAAACTTTGCTGACTTACCAGAAAACTCAATTAAAAAAGCAATTCATATAGTAAAAATGTTGAGAAAGATATTAAAGAAAGTGATAAAGAGTTGTAACTATTAATATAAAACATGAAAAAAATATTTGATTTAGTATTAATAAAGTTATTTCACTTGGCATTACAGAGAATTAAGTTATCAAAAAAAATATTAAAGTTCATATTAGAGCTTTATAATAAAAGAGAAATTAGTATTATAACAAAATTTAAAACTACAAAAATATTTGTTGTAGGTGATAGAATTGAATAAGGTGAAACAATTTCTTCATTGGTTTGGCAGATATTTTATGACTTACTTTTAAAAAGAATTCAAAATAAGTTGAGTTTAGAATATAAGATTAAAGTATATAAAGTATTAAATTTACAAATGAATAGAGTTAAAGTAAGAAGAATAAGACAAGCTGCAATAGCCTATACTAATAATACAATCTAAATAGCAAAAAGCAAGGATGAGATGCAAACAATCATGCAGATCTTACAAAGATTCTTTAAGTTCAATAATATTCAGATCAATAATACTAAATCAAAACTGTTGGTAATTAATTTTAGTATAAAAAAAAAAAAGATTGATGTTAATAAATAAATATTAAATATATATTAAAGAAAAGCATGCATTAATAAGAATGTTAGGAGTATAGTTGAGTATAGAAGCAAATAAAAGATTAGATGTTAAAAAGATAAAAAATATTATATAGCAATTCATATGAAGCTTATAGTTTAAGAAATTGATTATTAGTTAGCTAATATACATTAATAATACATGTATAATATCAAAATTGATATACATATTGCAGACAACAAAACTGTCTAAAGAGTATATAAATTGCTTGTATTAGCCAGTAATTAGGTTAATTAAGAATAAAATAGGTCTGCTAACAATTGCAAGGAATAGCATAATTTCATATTAAGATTTAGAAAAATATAGAATATTAAGTCTAAAAGTATTTAATAATTAATTGGTTTCTTTACAAAGAAGACTAAATAAGCCAGATCAAGTTAACAAAATGACAAGAATATAGGTAAAACAAGACTATGCTCTAGTAAGATTAATATTAGAAAAGATAAATACAACATATACAAATAATTTAAAAAAGATCTAAAAAAGAAATCTAGTATACTTAGTACTGCTAAGAGCAAGCAAAATAGATATAGGAATAAAGACAGAAGGTGTTCTTTGGCAAGTTTCTAGTACAGATAAAACTATACAAAATTTATTAAAGAATAAAACATTTAGAATAACTTGTAGAATAATAATGAAATATAGATTGTTTTTTGTACAACAACTAATGGATTAAGAAGACAAAAAAATGATTATATAGAAAAAGTTTAAAGCATTATGAACAAGTATACAAAAGAGATAAAAAGCAAAATGATTTGCTAAAATTGAACAAAAAATATTAAGTGATCAAGTAGGTAGAACTGTTTAAACTAAGTTTCAAATACAAAAAACAAACATTATAATGATGAAGACTGAGATCAAGAAGTTATTATAAGACAAAAAAAAGCAAGAATAAGTGTTAGTGAACAAAGAGAACACTGAACCAATAATAGTCAAAATAGTTAAAAAGAAGAAAAAAATATATATACTATATATACTAATAATTTTATTATTAGAACTTACTCTATAAAATTTGTTAGAAATTCAAGAAAGCTTTACTTGACATAAAAACCTTTTATTTATAGTTCATTTTGATAAAAAAATCATATACAGTATATTAATTTCTAACAACTTTTATAATATTTTAAATTTGCTATTCTTTATACCTTTTAACCGTGATTTACATCCTAATGTTTTTTTTCTTGTTTGGGTTGTATCACTTACCAAGAGTTTTGACCCATGACCCGTTAGCTGCCCCAGTAGGAACATGAAAAATTGCACCAATCAGATCTCTTCTAACAATCGACTCTCTATGAAAACCACTTTCTGCGCACTAACAAAAAGATTGCCGTAAACTTTTGGTACAAAATAAGTCACAATCCTAACCCTAACGTAAGGTTTTATTACTTAAAAAATTCAATTATTTTAATTAGTGTAGATAATCTGATTGATGATCTTTCATTGTCTCGCCTATGACCTTATGACCCGTTCTGACATAAAATTTACATTATGACCAACTTGGTCATACGTATAGCCTAAAATGGCTAAAATAAATGCTAAGGCGAGATTTTAATTAGAAAAAACATAATGGTAATATAATTTATTTGGAGATAAGATTTATAAAATTTACCACAAATTTTAAAGATTAGACTTAAGGGTTAAAGCTCGGATTAAAGTAAATATTGGAAGATTTTAGAGTTTTAAGCATTTTTATTTAGTATACACAAACACAGATTTTCTAAATACATTTTTGAGAAATAGCACGCTCGTGAATTTGACCTCCGGTGAGCGTTTATAAATCTATTTTTAGAAAAAAATTCCCTACGTATGTACGTACATGACAAATATTTCGTTTACGAAATCACGATGTCTTTTTTTTGGTTTAATTGTTTGCACTTAAATGGCAATTATTTTTTATTTTTACTGACGGCAATTATTCTATAAATGACATCTCAATTCAGTCAGATGTTCCAAACTTTCGCATTATATTACCAATTTTGAACGATTGTTCTTTTATTACCAATTCTCTAGCTTTGAAAAAAACCTTATCATGCTTTATAAATAGTAGGTAGTTTCCGTTTCCTTTGATCAAGAAGTTCATATAAACATGGCAGTTATCATATTAGGCGAATGTTATTTACCCATAACAATAATCATTACGATTGCATATCAGTTAATAGTATTTATTATCGCCTATACTTTACAAGTTGATACTGGTATGCCAAAAATTTAATTTGGATCAATTTTATTTATTTATTTTTATTATTTTATTTTTTGATAATCATAATCTTTAAATAAATTAATAGCTACGGATATAGGCGGTTTGTTTAATTATAAAAGTTTGGGATTTATTTATTATAACAGCAATAACTGATAATCTAAATTATAGGAGGATCAAATGTAGCATTGCTTGCCATCTTAACTTTAGTTCTTAGCGAGGTAAATATTATATATGATACAACTTAATATACACATTATATAATTAATATATTGAATATATGCATATCTAGACATATCAAACCCGTCAAATAATTGCTACAACATTTCAAATTATATGGGCACTTCGATTTGGATGTAAGTTTCTATTCATCAATTATGATCATTTTAAATACTTTTATTTACTTATTGGATTTTGTAGCCTTCTGCCTATATAGAACGTTAAAGTCTGGTCATGTTGACACTCGCTTTGATCAAATTCGTCCATATTTTTTAAAACTTTTTGGATTTTTTCTTCTTCAAATAAGCTGGGTTTGGGCCATTAGCGTGCCAGTTTCATTCATGAATTCACCAAAAATTATCGAATACTCGGATCCAAATTTTGGAAGCGTAACAGATATTTTAGGGGTTATTTTGTTTGTTATTGGATTCTTAATTGAGTCTATTGCAGATATTCATAAGGTTATATGATATTTTTTGTAATTATAATTAACATTGTCAGCTAATTATTTACACTATCATTATATGTATCCTATATAGTTGATATTTCGTATTAAGCGATCATCACTAAACGAGGTTATAGCAACTGGTCTTTGGGCTTGGAGTAGACATCCCAATTATTTTGGCGAAATTATTGTATGTATCATTATTTTTAACACTATATACTTATAAAACAAACTTTATTATCTAATTCAATATACAACCAAATTAATGGGTTAAATTGTGCAGATTTGGTAGGTTTTATCTTTATTTATTTTATAAATACTGTATTCTTAAGTGTTATTAAAAAAGATTATTTATTATTGCAATTTTAGGATTGGAATGTATTTATTATGTTTACAATCTAATATCGTTGATCCAGCAGCAGTATCAGTTTCTTTACTCTCACCATTAGTCACTATCGGCAAGTATTTTTTTATTTTATTTCATTCTCTATCGCTTCACATTTTTCAAAATCAAAATATTTATCTTTATCTCTTTCTATAGTGGTTTTACTATTTATAACTGGAATGCCATTAAGCGAACGCCCAGTTCACATAGCACATTTCAAAGCAGGGAATTGGGATAAATATTCTCAGTACCTATCTCGTACAAGTTGTTTAATTCCATTTCCACCATCATTATATGAACCATTACCACAAATTATAAAGAGTACTCTGTTCTTAGAATTTCCCATATATCGATTTGAGCCAGAATCGGGAGGTGATCCGGGCGAAAAAGATAAAAATGTGGGAGATAAGAATGAAAGTGTGGGAGATAAGAATGAAAGTGTGGGAGATAAGAATGTTTAGGTTTATATATTTTTATGTTAAGTTTAATGATATTTTCACACCCATTTTTGGTTACTTTTTCACTCTTGTAAATGGTAAATTAGTATTTATATATGGTTATAATTTTATCCAACGAATAGTACATTAAATTATTGAGAACATACAGTTTATTGTTTGACAAATCATTCATTGAATATGAATAAAATATAAATATATTAATATATGGAATTTAATTTTTATAAGTAATCCTTTTTTAATGATTAGGATTATGGCAAGTACTAGTATTAACTTCTCTTTTTTTTGTCAGGATAAGTCAGATTATAGGAAAAATAATTTTTAATAAATTTTTTTTTCTTTTACAAATCGGATGTCCGTCCTAATTTGCATTTCCGTACCGTATGATTTACTATATACTAATTTTTAGAAATTTTTGGAAAGCATTTTTTTAATAGTTAGATTAGGGTTTAGAGTTAGTTATGATAATAAAAGAGTATAAGTGGGTTTTTGTAGGGTTTATATTTTTAAATCAAGGTACCTGATTTCAAGCTTCAGCCGCTATTCTCGATATGTATTAAATAAATAACTATCCTCAACATGTATTTATATCCATACAATTAGTAGATGCGCGCAAATTTCGGAACATGTTATTCAATTAGCTCTTAAAGTTTTTAAGTAACGATAATACGAATTAATAAATAACGATAAGTAACAATAATGAAAATAGTAAAGACACAAATAAGCACAAAAAATTAGTACGTAGCGAAAAAGGAAGCAATATAAAATCGTATTTAGCGATAGTAACACAAATTATATACTGTAGTTCCCGAAATCAAAGTAGCACTCAAGGCATTATACTTGATAATTTTCCATACAGATTTTGGTTCGTATTAAATAATTTTTTTTTTTAAATAGGACATGTATACCTTTTAAGTATTATCGTGAAAGTTTTCAATAGGGCGTTACGATGGTCCGCATTATACGGTAGTTAACCACCTGAACCCAGTGATTATCACATCACGTGAAATCATGCAATGACTCATTTGTCTGAAATGTACTGCGCCGATCCAATTTACATAATCGCACGCGAGAAATCTGTGCCAGTTTTGTAACTCATACAGGGGGATCCCCAAAATTCCGGGTCGGAATACATCGGAATCATGGTCGGCAGGGCCGGAATTAACTAATTTTGCCCAAGATCACTAAAAGTTTTACTAATGAAACCATAGCTCACTCATTAAGTAAAGCTGCCCAGCTGATAATTTTGGCCCAAAGTGGTTAACTTGTATTACTAAATGCTAACCAAATGCCGGGCTAAATCCGAGGTATTCCGACCCGGAATTTTGGGGATCCTTCTGTATGAATTAGATATTGTCAATCATGACCGACAAAATTAAAGAAAAAAAATTTCTATCGCCTATGAATTTTGACATATGGGGTCTTTGCCTTGAAAATGATCCTACGGGACATAGTAATTACTATATCCCATAAGGTCATTTTCAAGGCAAAGACACCATATGCTTTTAATTCTAAATTCTTTTTTAGCCTAATCTAACCAAAATCTAACCCTAATTTAATACTAACTTTAAAATTAGCTTAAATGCGGGCAGATGTCGATCAATCTAGGCAGATGATCGACAAAACCTGGCACAGATTTCAAACTACCCGTCTATTTTTACCTAGAAAAAAAATTAGGTCTAATCCTTAAAAAGGATCGCTTAACAATGTTAAATTATCGTTATATGAATGCTGCCAAATGAAAACATTTAGTTCACTTGAAGATTATCAAAAGCACAAGTGACTTGCGTGTTACTTTTTTTTTTTTGGCTAGTAAGCGTATATTGTCAATTATAAATTTTGATTATGTCAGCTTAATTCATTAGTAAACATATAAAGATCACGCACATATGTAAATACTGACATACTGTATCGTACGTACTTACAAATAGCCATTCGCTCACAGAAATAATGTCAACTCTTAAAATTATTTCACATATTTTCCCGGCTTCTTTAGAGCGTAAAGTGCCTGGACAGGGTGGCCATCTCCGAATCGCTGCAAATTCTTACGTGACAACGGACATTGACACAAAAAACAATTATGGTAAAATATCTCTTGTTTTTGCACATGCCACCGGATTCCATAAAGAATTATGGAATCCTATTATAAAAAAATTACATAAACAAAGATATCGATGGAACGGTGGTGATATCTGGACTTTGGATTGTTCGAATCATGGTGATAGTGCATTATTAAATCATGATGTTTTACCTAATAGTTGTAAGCTCTAGCTTTGTTTGTTGTGATCTGTTTTTTTGTCATTGAAACTTAATTGGATCATTAAATTTAGTTTCATGGCTCGATTTTTCTCGAGATATTCTTCAACTTATCGATGAGGCAAAAATTCAAAAGCCAATTATTGGTATAGGGCATTCCTTCGGTGGAACTTCCATGTGAGAAGTTTTCCTATTGTATTTCATTAATACTGTAATAGTGTTCTCAACTGATTTTTAAAGCCAATACAAATGAACAAAATTTATTATCAGGTCATTTGGGAACATTTTTGATATACCGATACTTTTCATACAATTTTAAATTTACAAATCACGTGATGCTTTTAGGTTAATGGCAGAAACTATTCGTCCTGGCACTTTCGCTAGTATTATTGCCATTGAGCCTATAATTCATCCTATTTTAAGTAAAGAATTTAAACTTAATAGCACAGCTGTTAAAAAAAGAAGAGACAGGTGGCCGGATAGGTAAGAATTATTGCTCATAACGATAATATTTTAAGGTACATGAATCTAAAAGATCTTTTTTCATAAACTTTTAACAGAGAAACAGCACACGCTGGTTTTAGTATGAACCCATTTTTTCAAAGTTGGGACCCTGAAATGCTTAATCTTTATGTTGTGAGTAATAACCACAATATTTATTCATTCATTTATTTATTTATTATTATTTATTATATATTCGTCTTTAATATAAAAATTCAATTAATGATTTGTGGATCACCATATAGCAATATGGGTTATATGAATTGCCATCTGGAGAAGTTGCATTAAAATGTCCTAAAACTCAAGAATATGTATATCCTTTATTTATTTTTTTCTTTTAGTATAACTCAAATTTTTATCCAAATTTTATCTAAATTTATTTTAATTCTAATTTGCGACATTAGTATACATTTTTTCACGAATCGGTTATACAATTCTCATCATTTTATCAACTACCGAAAATTCAATGTCCCACACTATTTGTTGTTGGTACTAAATCGACTTACGAGTAAGTTAATTTTAGGCAGTTAGAGATGTTAATCGGTCCTTTGGGATCGGGTCCCAACCGAATCCTTGAAAGGACTCGAAGGACTGGGTCTTTAAATCACATGAAAAGCATCATACATTTTTATAGGACTTAGTTCCTGAATTGAATTATTATAACAATACACCCCTAACGTTAATGTGGTTTTTTATTCAGTTTTAAAGATTTGGCTCTTCTTAAAGCATCACAATGTCGATATAGTGAAATTATATCCATGGATGCTGGACATTTGGTTAGTTGACCTATCTTTGTCCTAAATTTTTTGTCATAATTTTAAACCATGAATTTTATTCAAAAACACTTATATACAGGTGCCCATGGAAAAACCTGCTCAAATTGGTAAGCTACTCAATTATTCATGTTATCAATTTTTTACTATTGTATTACTCATTATTATATCCATAGTGGACATTATTGAATATTTCGCGCGTAAATTGTCGAGAAATAAGGGTTTGTTATATAAAAAATCACCTGAGGACAGAAATGTACACCCGGTTTTGGCCATGTTGTAATTCGAAAGTACATCTCGTAGGTGCATAAAAATTAGTATTATTATTATAGAAATTTACGGTTATATGAATTTTTTTTTTCCTAATTTCATTTTTAAATCAAAAATTAAAATGTAATAATGTAATCCTATAATAGTGTTAAAGTTTTGTTATTTAATTACCAAAAAGTAAAAAAAAAAAAGAGAAAAAAAGAAAGATTGGTTAGTTTAAATCACTGAGACTTAGCAGCCTCCTTCTCCCTCTCTCTCTTTCTTAAAGCGCGCTTTCTAATATTTTCTTGTTGACCTTTTTAAACAGAATAAAGCAATAAGTTAATATAATTTTATTATTCAAATATCCAAGTATAAGTGTATATATATGAAACAATGATTATCAATACATACCAAGAGTATAATTTACCCAAAAACTCCAACTAAATGTATTAGAAATTATCCAGTTAATCAATGCATGAGAAGGATATGGATTAGAATTGAAAGGATAAAAGGATGCTCCTCCAGGAATTCCAATCTTAGATAATACTGATTTGACATATGGTCCTGGTAATGGGATCAGGAAAGATGGTTTCCGAATTTTTGACATGGAAGATACCTATCAATTATTTTTACAGACAAATAAATCCGAGAAATAAGAAATAAAAAATAATAAGAAATTAGAATCGATAAAAGAATTAAGAATTGAATTTACAAATAATTCAATTTAAACAATCATACCACAAAATAAGTATTAACATTTTCAACAATGATTCCTTTTGATTTAAGCTCTGCACCTATAGCCTGTGACCATGTATTCATAAAAGCCTTTGAACCGGAATATACCGATAAATATGCTGATGGAACCGTTCCAGCGAATGATCCGCCATTAATAATAAGTCCTCGATTTCTATTTTAAATGAAAAAGTAATTAGAAATTGTAGGTCAAATTATTACAATTAATTAAAAAAAAACAAACTTTGGAAGCATCTTTGATAATACAATCTTGGTCACTTTTAAAAGTCCAGCGATATTAACTTCGACAATATTGTGAATAATTTCGTCGTCCTCAAGATAAAATGGCGTTGGAATTTCGTGATTTGTAGCAACATTATTAACCAATACTCCAACATCAAGTTCTTCAATTATATCCTTTAAATTTTCATAGTCCCTTTTATCACCCTTGGTAAAATCCATTGCATACATTTTTGTATCAACTTTATATTTGTTTTCTAATTTTAAAATATTAATTAAAACTTATCTATGAATAATAGTATATAATTTTTGGAGGAAAGGAAAAAATAACTTAAATAAACAAAAATAATTAATTAATTAAATACTAACCGATCTCATCTCTCAAAGCTTTTAATTTGGATGCAGTACGAGAAATCATAAAAATATTAAATTTAGCAGCGGCTAGTTGCATAGCATATTCTCTTCCAATACCATCAGACGCGCCAGTAACAACTATTATAAAAAAAAGATCCATTCATTTTTTTTAATGCTATAAATTAAAAAAAAAACTTGCGCAATAGACGAGAAACTCACCAGCCCAAGAACCGCTCCCGGCGCCAAAATCCTTGAGCTATAAATATACAAACAAGCATGATAATGAGAACTTGTTAACAATTTTAATTGAATCTATGGAAAATTATAATATAACTATAGCATAAACTTTAAATTTTACAATTTACAACTGAGTATCACGTTATTACCAGATACTCGGCTTATACGCGTTGCTATTACGAAAAAAAGTTAAAATATTAACACATACATTCTTTCCAGGTAAAACAAAAACATCGACTATCAACTTTAAAAAGCTTAAAGTTTTTAATAAAATGAAAAGGGCTCCGATAATAGTGAAAACGACAACGGTTGCCGTAATAATTTGACTTTCTGGTTAAAGTACAATAAAAAAAATATTTCTTTTATACAAAAATAGCCAAATAATAATTGAAATAATAATTGAAATAACTCTGTTAAATTTTATAATACCCACAGCGTTTTGACTTACCCTGAAGTAATTGAAGAAATGGGTCGTTAAGTGTCATTGTTGCAGAATGTAAGGAATTCAGAATTTCACTTTAATATAATAACGATAATCAACAGATCATTCCCTAATCTCACGGTATTATTCTAATTGCATGAGAAATCTCGTGATATGACTTTGATCACAACAGAAGATTGACAGGACATTCTTAAGACGTTCATAATTTTTTTTTTATTCAAAATCATTTAAAAAACATATATTGTCAATATTATAAATCAGGCGGAGTAAAATTATTGGTAGATTCCGGCATATGCAAATGTTTTCTTTTTACACTAAACTGCTCGTTTGTCGAACTTGTTTCAGTGGTAAATGTTTCCGTCTTTATGGAAGAAATGTCTTTTGTTTTTTCGTCTTTAAGAGCACCTTGCAATAAAGTTTGTCTGCATAAAATATTTGTGTAAACTAAAAACTTATAAAAAAAAAGAAAAATGGTATCAAATACATATTTGTAAAATGAACCTCATGTTTGTCCATGCTTGTACAATATTTTCTGTATCAGGACTTTTGAATAATTGCGATTCCGATATGTTCGCTCGGCAAACTGGACAAACTTGCTCTATGTTCAAACACCGTCGAATACAAAGGGAACAATACACGTGCCCACAGTCAGCAATCATTGGTGTGTTAAAAAAGTCCTTGCATACTGAACAACGTGGAAGAGTGTCAAGAAGTTTAAGTGACGCTTGAGGAAAGTCACTTGGATCTGAAATAAATGATAGATCAATAGAACCATCGTCTGACATGATGAATTTTCTTCGTTTTGACCAGAGATGAAGAATAAAAATAAAAAGTCTAAAAACAAAAAAAAAATGAAACTTATAAATTGGTCAAACACATCACAATGTAAATAATTAGGAAATTTGACATCCGACAAAATTCCGTGTAATTCAAGTCGCTGCGGTTTACTCTAACGCTGACATACTGTATACATCCAAATGGTCATTGGTTGCGATACAGCCAATGACTAGAGCTCACATGACAATAAAATATATGGGTGTTTTTAGGTCTTTTCATTCGCATTATTTGCTGGATAATTATAGAAGGATACGTATCATTTCATCGACAATCGCTTCGCCGAACCCATCACACAGAGCGATGATTAATATTAATGATTGTTTGAGGATTAATAATTATTGTTCAGTGAAGTGATCGTCGATGAAATGATACGTATCCATAGAAGGATAAATGTATCGGTATGTTTGTTTTATTTGAACAGTCTTTTTATTCACATTATTTATTGAATAATTATAATTTTCAGAAGGCTTTGTTTGAATGTTCGATGAATACGAAGCTCTAGGCACAACTCGTATAACTCGTATAAATCGGATAACTGTTGGTATAATATATGAATAAATGTAAACCAAAATAACATTGTTAAATTTAAGGAATAATATATTGTAAGTAAATAATCAACGATACTAAAGTTTGGTTTCAACTGACATCCCTGCAAAGATAATTTGGATCACCAAGTTGAATAGCTTTTTAATAAATTCTAAGCTCATTAAATACTTGGATAAATAAATCTGCGCTTATCCAAATAAAATCAAATATAAGTGAAATAACTTGTATATATTGTAAAGGTAAATTCATCAACCTGAATTTCTAGTTTCAATTAGAGATGCAGGCGAATCGTCCCAATGATTGTCGAAACTAGTTACGACATAAACTTTAGCTAGTTACGGCTTAAGCAATAACATCATTTGGACGATTCGCCTGTACCTCTAGTTTCAATGAATTTGAAAGTTTATTCATTTTCATCAACCAGATTATCATGAATAAATAATAATTATGAATAAATCCTTAAGATATTAAATTGAAAAATTTCAAACAGTATTGGCCAGGTAAATATTTGAGCACTTGATTAGATTTATTACAACTGTATATTTATCAAATAAATTACCATGAATAAGATCTCTTTGTGTTATGCCGTTCAACGGCTTGGTTATAAGTCTACTAATGAAGTCGATCCTAGAGTCATGAAACGAAAACTCTTACTACATGAACTTTGACTAATTGTAATCCTAGATACGGCTAACACCAAACATTCTGTAAATATAAATATAACTCGAAACCTTAAACAAAATTTATATTGATATCAATATCAGGTATTGAAAAATACCGCATCGAATATCTACAAACAATGGCTTTGCTTAGCTCAAAAAATTTTAATTATAGTAACGGCTCAACTATGCTCGATGTTGGTCGGTAGATTTATAACCGACTCGGTTCTGTTCCGCAGAGCCAAAGGATCGGCTTGATCAAAATTAGCCCTCGTGACGCACGATTAATTTTATTAATATGCCGTTTTAAAATGGAAGCAGCGGAGTAACATTTTATAACTATTCTGCAAAGCCATCATCCTTACTATTAAGAATTTAAGATCTCTTTACTTTTTATTCAATTCAATCAATTCATAATCATTTCACTGGCATTAATCTAACCCCTCACACTCAAAATCAAAAAAAAATTTTGTGTTTCCGGCAAGCCAGATTTGAACTAGCGACCTAGAGATATCGGTGTGGAGGTTTCCCTCACTACAGTCTCCCGCTCTACCAACTGAGCTATTGCCGGTGTCTTTATATAAGTTTAAAAAATTGGTATTATTAGAACCAGTTACATTTGAGTCATTATTACGCAATTTATTAAAACTGATCGACTTTACATGTTTCACATGATTAACTTTATTTTGTATTTTTTATTAAGTCTTTCGAAATGACAGATATTCCAATTGACCAGTTATCTGATTAAGCTTAGAGATTTCAGATCAGTTTTAGGCATCTTTATAAATTCAAATTATAATAAAGTTGGCCCAATTGAAAACAAGGATAGCGTAAATTTGACCTAAGTGACATGAAGAATAACAAACATTCGATAAAAAAGTTTTTTAGTCTCTCTATGAGATACTGTAAATAAGTAATAATTATTAAAATACAGATACACTAAACCGTAAAAAAAAGCATTATCACTAGTTGTTAAATTGTTCGGATATTTTCAGATAGTAAACGATCAGTGTAGAATGGGTGAGGGTGAATTCGGTTTTTGCCTTTTTAATTTACTTTTAGCTAATAATTAACCATATAGATATTGGAGTAGCAAAGTGATGGTGCAAAAAATTGGCAGTGACGTGATATATTTTTGTATTTAGGCTATTAATTTTATACTTATTTATTCGGGATCCAACGAAGTTCTTATGAATTTTTATAAAAACTTTTTTGGATCCCGAATTATAAGTATCCCGAATACAGAAATATAGTCTGAGTACTTGTATATAACGTCACTGCCAATTTTTTGCGCCATCACTTTGATACTCTAGATATTGCAATATTCTATATACTTAATTATGGATTCAAAGTAAGTTTAAAAGACCATTTTTGTAAAAACTTACTTTGTAATAAATTTTAATGACAAATAATTTACAATTATGATTGGTTAATTTTAGGGAAACTTTCTTATGTAATATTAAAAATTTTTAGTAAACATTAAAAGGCTTTTTTTAAAACATATGATAAAAATTGCAGGTAGCTAATAAAAAATTAAAATGCTAATTATTTAGATAATAGCATTTTAAAAACTTTTTCACATGTTAACTTTTAAATAATAACAGTATCCTATTTTAATATTAATTCAACTTTTATTTTTTTTATTTTGAGTTACAAAACTCTAGTAATATTACATAGTTTGAGCCTTTATATATAGTTAAAGTATATATTCAATTTTGGGTACTAAAGTAAATTAATATCACTTATTAGATTAAAATATATTTGAATGAAACAAAGTTAAATAATTCAACTTATTAAAATATCTAATTTAATTATATTTCTTTTAAAATAAAATTATTTTTACAAATAACTAAATGCATATAATGCAAAATAAAAAATAAAATAAACTAATTATACTCTGAATAACTACAAAAATATGATTTTCTAAAAAATTAATTACTTTAATATAAGTGCTACAATATCAAAACCAACATAAATTGTAATATATATAGAATGAATTGAAATACTCATAAATTTATAAGAAGAGTTTGCACATATAAACAATATTTAAATATATTAATTATAAGATTTTAAACATATATAACAGTACATAAAAATAAAGCATATAAAAAGAACAAGTTAATGATAGTTAGACTTAACATACAAAGCAGACTATGGCACTCTTTACAGCTATGAGAGCTGAATATACAGTGAGCAAATCTACAAAAGAATTTTCTATTTTCTTGAATTTTATTTTATTATTTCACATTAAGAAAGTATTATAAAACTCATCTTATAACATATTATATAATTCAAACTTATGCTATAACTAATGATTAGCATGCTTAAACTTATTTTTACTTTTATATTTACAAATATTTTTTTTTTGGTATTAAGGTAAGGCCTTGCTTATATCTTTATTAGTAATTTTAGTTGTATATATTAATATACTATGTATTAAAGATATACTAAGATTATAAAATACAAAATAAAAATTATATATAAGAATTAAAGCTCAGATAACTTTATCTGTAACTTAAACTAATTATGATGATCAAGATCTACCTAGATTTGTAATGTTAAAATATAATTGTAAGATGTACTATGATTAATTCAAAGTATCAATCATATATTAATTTTTCTAATAGCCTATTCAATTAGTAGACAAGTATTAGAATATAAGTGTAATTGATCTGCTGTTTCACATAAACATGAGTATGTATAGTTTATATGTAATCTTTTGTAGTGTCTAGTTTGTTGTATCTGTTATAAAGTATTGTGAATATTACAAATTTGAAGAAATATAATATTGTTATTCTTTTTCTAGTTAAAGAGATTGATGCAGTATAGTTTCTATATTTGGTTATAAATTTGATTATTAATATCAAAAAGTGTTTGAATAATAATTTGTAAAACTATCTTAATTAGTATGATGTAGTTATAAATTGTCTTAATTAAGACTTTAGGTCAAAGCCTTTAAGAATAAGATCAAGATAGAAAGAATTTACTTGAAATGGTATTCAGTCAAATGAAGAATGTTTTTGAATTTTTCAAATAAGTTCATAAACCTAATTAGTAGATAAGTTAAGATCTGTTTTAGATAAAATATGCTGAATTGATAAATTAATAATATTTGTAATAAAAAAAAAAGTTAAAACAAGTTAAACAGTATAAGTAAAAGTCAGAAAGATTACATCAAAAGCAGTTAGTATTTGTAAAAATAGTTGGATATATGTTGTAAAAAGAGAAGTATATTGGTAGTTTATTTAATAGAGTTTTGATTTTAAAGGCTTTGAATTGATTAAATTTAAGCTAATAAAATTAGATGAGGGTTTTTGATTATAATTGAGATATAGTTATATTGATTGCCAGTCTATGTAGTAATTAATGTAAGACTATTCATTGTTTCTTTTTTGTAAGAATCACATTGTCAATATATGAGCTTTACAAATATTTTTGATAAAGTATCAGATAGGAACTTAATAAAATTTTTGTAAAAGTTGATATTTAAATTAAGAATTTAATAATATTAAGAAGTGTATGCTATAAAGACTATATATTAAATTTAAAAAATTTGTTAAAATTATTGGATTAAATAAAAAGTTTATAGAACTTAAAAATAACTAATTGTAAGTCAATATAAATTTGAAATATTGCATTACAAAGTATAGTTGAAATTGCAGATAAAATAGAGAAGAGCTTTGCTTTATAAGTTAATAGCCAGAAATAGATTTTAGCTAAAAATTTATAAAGAACTTGGTTGT